TCTAGAAATCCAGTCTTTGGAGGCCTAGCGGCCCGTCTCATGTTAGTATCCGGAATCAGCACATTCGATTACCTATTGTTCACTAAGTTTTAAGCTAGAAGCGATTTATCACTTGGTGTCCTTTCCTACTTACATTATGTGATGAATAATATGGCTGTACAACATACTCGTGAGGAATTTCATTATCTTTTAACACAAGGTAAGTATCGAATGTGATTTCTTTTCAGTAAGAAGTATATTTCAATTTTAAAATTCATGATGATTAAGGATGAATGTCACCAAAGTTCAGAACGCTACGTCACGTATGGATTATTTTTCATCAGTTCTTCTATGTCTCATGCTTGCTCATAATCTGAAGGTTTATGCTAAGAAAAAGATGACATTATTCTCAGTTCTTAGGTGAGGATTCCTCTCACCCATCCACTATTCGAGGCTCTGGCTTCTGATGTGAATAAATCGTTGCACTTTTTTTTCTAAGAATTATTTTTTCACTTTTTAAACATAGTATCCAGTTAGCCAATAGCTATTAGCCATTGTACTCAACAATGTGAAAAGATATTCGACAAAAAAAAATAGAAGAGGGTTATTAGACGTAACTTCTACATAATGTCTGCGGCGATAAAACTTGATCGTCTTTGATAACGTAGGACAAATAACGATAAGGAATATTAGATGATAATTGATCATAATTATCCGGCAAACTTGTTGTTGACGTTGTATATAAATTTGACGTAGTATATGATGATAGATAATGATTATGAAGATGATTTTGACTAGATTCTAACGGTTTCGTATTGTTGACACAAATTTCAGATTTTGTTAAAAACATGTTACTGTGATTAGAATGATTTATTTTAACAGAACTTGATCGTTGTTTTGTACTTTTAGTAAAAATATGATTTTCGACCGAATTATTCTTTCTTATCCTATAGACAACATTATTACTTGTGAAATTTGATACTTTTGATTTTGCTACATTTTTAGCTTTTCGTCGACGCTTATTTTGTGTCGATTTTGTCAATAGAATAATAATTGATATTGATAGAACAAAGATAACAACTGACATTGGACAAACTATATAAAATAGAAGATTATTCGATAAACGATCATCTAAAAATAGACAAAATCATAGAATAAAACGATTCTGATAATAAATGGGTTACCCAAAGTTTTTCTCATTTTAATATTATCTATTTCACTATAAGTTTGATTCATATCTAAAATAGATGTTGAATAGATAACAGTTAGTCATCTAAAGGATTTACCTTTATTAATGGTATTATTAGGGTGATTAGCTCCATAATAAAATGTTTTCGCATTATTAGAAGAACAATGAGAACTAGAAAAAATGAAAAGTTTAAAGTAACTGGTGTGTGTATGCGTGTGTTCAAGTGGTAGTTATGACTGGAAGATTCTGCCCATACTCTTTTGAAGTAAAGTCTTTTATTTGACAGTCTGGTGACAAACAGTAAAAACATAGGAAAATTCCATTTTTACACGGTATCAATTTCACAAACACATAGCCAATTCTATTTGTAACAATCACCGTATATGATCCATTGTTTCTAAAACAAAAATAGAAATTATTGGATGATGAATGATAACTGAAGAAAAGATCAAAATTCTTACGCTTTATGAGTTGTTAATGATTTAATTTCATATCGCATATTATGTGACAAAATTAATTCTTCAAATGTTGTTGTTCTAAATGAATTTAGTTCAACAAATAATGTAAATAGACGTCCATCAGCTACAAAAATAAGTGTATTTATAAAAACTTTGAATGTAAATGTTTTCTTTCATCTTATTTACATGTTCCAATTAGAATACAATGTCGATTTTCGTTCAACACAATCACTGTTAATTGTGTAAAAATATATTCAGCCATTGTTTGAAAAACAATCGGTTGCACTGGATAAGATATAAATTGTTTTTGTGATTCAACCGTTTCACGATCTATTGTTGATGTTGTGGATTGACTACAATTTTTGATTAACTCAACTGTTTCACTATTTAAATTACTTTTCATTGATGGACCAGTGAATACATCATAGAATTGATTTAACAGAAATATACATATGGCTGATGCTGTTATTGTTGAACTAAAAAGAAAGAATATACAGATTTTAGATTAATGTCAGAGTGCTAAAGAATGTCATACTTGTTTGTAGTAAAAGATGTATAAAGTATCGAGGAACCATTTTTCATTTGAACGGGATCAATCATTGATGCTGAAACAAGAGTATTATTCAATCGAATAGTGAGAGAATGCTTCAATTTGCAACATAATTTACTTAGAATATGAAATACAAATATTCTATTTGAATCGGGTGTGTTTGCTGAACAATTCAACGTGGCTTTTCGAACGATTTCAGCACGATTTGAACATGCCATTACTAGTCGAGATACACGATTCTTTAAAAGAAAATGTAGATATAAAATAGTTATAAACAGACGGTATGGTGTTGTCTATTACCGTTTCAGCTCTTTCTGATGTTTCAATTACACCAAAAACAGCTTTTCCGTCGTACGCAAAACCATTAACAAAATGCGAATCTGTGAAATGCATTCATAAATTTAAAGTAGGTTTTAGTGACTATGTTCAATGTGTCTAACTTACTTTGACGTATGGTGTATAATAAAGTTTTGCCATTTGAACGAATTGTTGGAATAAAATCACCGTGATATCCTGCTGTGACAAGATTATTGTCAACATTAACCATTGAATAGGATACATCAGAATCCATGGGTGTATCGGGATCTCTATGTTGTTTGTTAGTAAATTTCTTTTAAACAATACTCACCATTTAGATTCACGTTCAAGTAGAAAATATTAACTTACCATTGTTTTTAAATCAAATACTCTAACCATTGGTCTATGCGCATAAGTTCCATAAACATCCATTTTATTATTTAAAATTCTTACATGAACAACGTCATTATAGCATTTTTCCTTCAAAACATTACAGAATTACTGATGTTACTCATATCTGAATGCGATAAGAATACTTACAATTGTATTCCATTCTTGAACACAATCATTCATAACTGTTTGCTCAACAGGCCAACTATACGTTGAATATTCGCGCTGAAGAACAATAAAATAACTTAAACATTATATTCATCTTAATCAAAAGATTTCCCACTTACCGTCTCATTACTTAGATGTGGTTTCAATAATATTAATTCTCCTCTGGCACCGTATACAGCATATGAGTCATAAGATGTTAAAAATCTCATATTTTCGATTTTTTGATTTGATATTGATGACACATCTTCGATATAACTATCAACATCTAAACATTTCATAATTAGTTACTATCATATTTAATCGTAATTATTTTAGAAAACATACCCGTCTCGAAATACCACTGCTGAGCAAATGTCAATGGACGGTGCCAAGCATGCGCTGTTGTTCGTAAATATATAACAATACAAACACTAATTAGCCATTCAAAACGCAAACTTATTTGCATACTTCATTAGGAATGATTTACGTCATAGAAACGTTCTAGAATACTAAACATTGCGTCTGAGTAAGAAGAAGAACTAGTATAAAAAAAATTTGATGCTAATAATTCTATAACTAATTAAAAATAATTGAGATGTGAATGGCAATGGAATTAAGGATTTTTTTGTTTTTCGCGTAAATGAAATATACTTGTAGTGGAAGGAGTTGTCAATTATCTTTCACAAATATACTTACCGGCGCATACAAACAATGGCAGCATGCGTTTATAACTTAAAGACACACGATTTATTTTGTTACACAGTTTCCACTCATTATTGTTAATATTAACTGCAACAACATCTCTGGAACTAAAACGTTCTCTATTTCATTCCTTGTTACAATAAATTGTCTATATAATCGAGAAAAAATATTGAGTTTTTATGCATATACGTAAAAATAACAATAGTATACTCAATAATACTTTCATCATGTTCAATTGATTCATTTCTCTGTATATTATTAGTATGGACTATTTTTTCTGATCGCTTATTTTCCCCTCACTACAGATCCATACACAATATACACAGATCACGAGATAACGTGATGCACATCACATTATTAGTGTGTGTAATACTGAGCTTGTAGCTCTTAAATTAGTTGCGCAAGCGTGAATATTAGTTTTGCAGTACATTATTAGTTCATAAAAAACTAGATCAATCACCAAATCACTTTCTGTTCGTAGATAAACCTCAACAGTTTATCTATATGGAAGTCATTAGTGTTAATTCAACTATTCACATATCGAAGAGATATATTAGAATATCAACTAATCATTTATTCTCCAATTCTAAACAACGTCAGTTTTCGCTAAAATTTAAGTGACTTTTGTAACGACACAATATAACGCTAGAACCTCTTAAATACGATCATCCAATAAACTGACACTTCCATACTCATGCGCATTTGATACAAAATGTTTTATTATTTGACACTGTTTGTGCTCTCTAATAATTTCTGGATAATGAACTATCGATTTAGCAATTGTGAGAAACTTTTTTCTTATTGAACCACTTACTAGAATTTAACTGATAATTATATTCCATCATTCCTTGAATCTGACTACAGAGGAGCGAGTCTGTATATTTATCTGCTTTTTGTTTCTACCTTTGTTCTTGATGTATCCGATATTACAGCAATGTTATACACATGTGTTATAAATACGGTAAAATAAATGCCATATATTGCAGTAAACATGAGAAACCAAATTACTTGAATGTTGATACTGATAATATCATCATTGTTGTTTTGTCTGATACCTCTGAGACGGACTCGTTTGATGTAATTTCGAATGGCTTTTTGATGAAGATCGATAGTTTCTATTGTGTGGAATACCTTCCCGGTTGATTTCACTCGGGATGATTTCGTGAGACGTCGAGTACTAGTCCACCAAAATCCGATCAATAGAATGTCTTTTAAAAAGTTTCAAACACCGAAACAGCATTCACAGGGTCTTGAGAGACGCCAAGAGTGATCAAAGTTTGAAGGCTGTTTTTAAAGAAAATGTCGATTATCGCGTTCACCCTAAAAAATCTCTTTAATAGCAAATATCTTCACAAATGTGTAAATGCAGCACTATCTGTGGTAAAAAGTATACAGATGTATGATCATTTTCTGTTTTTTGTTGAAGATTCACAATATTTTCCTTCACTTGTCAGTAACAAAATTTCACAATGAATGTCAAATTCTTAATCAGCGTAAAAAATTGTAGGAACTAATGTATTTGACAAGCATTCTTAAAAAACTGAAAACAGATTGATTAAAATATCTGTTCTTGGTTGATTATTGAGGAGACTATGTGTCACCTGGATCCATTTTCGTCAGAAAATCAATAATGTTGATCCTATTCCCGACGCTGCGTTAGTTTATGAAAACTTTTTAAAAGACATTCTTTCAATCAAACCTTGATGGACTTTATTTTGAGATGGATCTCGAATTTGGAAGGAAAACTCGTATATAAAGTGCTCGATAATTTACATAACTTTGCTAGTGGACCATGTTGTCGAATAAGTAGGCGAAAATCGTTGCTGAACCATCAGGCAATTTATTCGGTTATATATGCATATTTATTTCGAACCCATTGGATTTCTACTTTTCGAGTTCGTTTGATGTCATGTTGAAAAGATTAATCTGTTTATTAAAGAGTGCACACAGTAATAACATAACTTAACATTTGAAAGTAAATGTAAAAAATGCGCGATTTCTTGGTTAGATAAAACAAGTAATTTTAGAAAAGTTTTAATCATAACCTACATTATATATTTTCTTACCTAATCAGGAAATATTTCATAATTATGCTACTTTGATCTCTAGTAGCATCAAATCTTGTACGAAAAGTCTTAATTACCAGGATATTCACTAGGAGCGTCCTAACTGTCATAGTAATGAAATTCATGTTTCTGCTTCTCTCAGTTATCCTTACCAATTTTTACAATTTTCAATTATTCCTCAAAACTTAAATGTATTGATGATCAACATTATCTTTAGCTGTCAATAAAGAGTATTATAAAAATCGTTTCTCATTCTCTAAATGGCATTATTATGTTGCATCATTACAACTATCAGTAAAAAACATCATATTATGCGGGAGAAAATAGTGAATCTTCTTGCGAATTATTAATACTTTGAAACTAAATTTTATCCCGTAGTCTTTAGTCGTTCATTCATACGAGAGCTCGGAAATAATGTTTTATTATATCAAAGATGATGGCTAATTCTCAATCAAACATCGACAGTCAAAACTAGTCAGATAATGAATGAATAGTCAAACATACTCAAGAAGTATAGTGTATAAATAAATATAAACAAAACACATGAATAATTGTGTAGTCAAGTTTGAATAATTACATACTAGAAACAGATCATTATATGAATCTATTATTACTGATTTTTTCTCATCAAACTTCTTTTCTTTCTTTTTTTCTTTCTTTCTCTTTGTCTTGTGTATATTATTTTTTTAAATGGATGAATCAAGTAGTATTTGAAAACAAATTTGAACATACTGAAACTGTTTAATATCATATGTGAATAGAAGAAATAAAAAATTTTAAAGTAGACTAGCAACCTCAAGTGATCGTATCAAAAGTTTATTAAATGTAGATGAACAAATTAGAAAAGCAAACATACTATCAGAGAAGAAAAGATGATAACGCATATAACAGTGTATCATTCATTTGAATTATTTGACACATTAATTTTTTTATGTATGTTTTATATCAACGAAGGAGAAAGAAATTTTATCTCTCAGTTTATTTTGGAGAAATCTAGGCCCTTTATTTCTCGTACACGTCATAGTTTGACTAATAATCATCTACATACATCGATTATATGCTAACACGCATTATACATTGACTATCGATTTGTCTTTAGATCTTTTAAGATGTTTTTCTCGGACTTTATGCTATCAATACAATAGAGAAAATATCATGTCAAATAGAATTTAAATCAATTATTATTGAGTACTAGATAACTGGTCAGAAAATCAAAATGTCTTGGCTTTTGTATAAAACTCCTATCGGAGAATGAAAGATAGTTACCCAGGATGTCGAAAACGGTGTAATTAATTGCCAATTAAATGCCATTTAATACGCTGTTAATAAGCATTTAAATGGCATTTTTATGATATTTGACCCCGTTTTTTGCCATTATAACTGGGAACGTTTAAATGCATTTATTTCGCATTTTTTTAAATGTCAAAAAACGGTCAGATAACAGGCATTTAACTGCTGCCAGTAACCCTACTGGTCACATTTTTTTGCCATTTAAATATCAATTGTTAGACCGTTAGAAAATGTCAAAAAAATATCTTCTGAACCTGAGGTACTATCACCTGCATCGAGTCAAGAACCACAGACCACTTCTTCGAGGCAAGTTTCTTTGACTCGTATAATTGAAGAAGAGAAACACTCTAAATTATTTTAAAGTCAGAGTCATTTATACTATTCATGACGGCAGAATACAGCGGTGAATGACTTGGTGACCATAAACTGACTGTTAAATGCCATTTTATGACCAGTTTTTTGCCATTTTGAAATGGAGAAAAAACGGACATTTAACGACCACATTTATTTGGCATTAGTTAACGCAGTCTAATAAATGGGCGAAAATGCCATTTAATGGTGTCCGTAAAATGACAATTTTTCGGATATTGCCTATAATCTGGCATTATTTTCATCGTTATTTCAAAGTCAAAAAATTGTCATTATAATGGCTGTTAAATGACAATTTTCATTCGATTTTTACACAATTAACAGGCCATTTTTTGGCATACAGTTAACAGGCTGTTAACGGACAATTAAATGCCAGTTTTCGTCGACCTGGGTAGTTATATCAAGCCTTAATTCGGACTGGATTGTAGCCAGGAAAGAAATTTAAAAATCGACTCTTGTGTACTCCATCCGTCTAGAAGTCAAAAACTATTTTTGTATTTAAGAGTTATATAGTCAAAGTGCTCATTCTTAAAAGTAACGACGTGATTTGATTTTCCGAACCACTCTTTTCTGTTTTTCGGAAACAAAGTGTTATGAAAAACGCGTCCAAAAATTTGAGCGTTAAAATACAAGAAAATCTATTTTCGCAAAGAGGGAAGAAAGGATACCTTGTCTTGTGGAGTAGAGTACCGACAAGTACCAGTTTCAATAGCCCGAACCGTAGACGGTAGAACGTTTTAAAAATAGGTAAGGCTCAAATTATTTCTTCTACTCTTCCTATCGAATTTCTTGCCGAAGAATTCAAGGATTTCTGATCCGGACATCTATTTCGTTTTACTTACACGTGTGAAAAAAATAGATTTTAGCTGAATCTCAAATGTATGATATAAAAATATAAATAACAGAGAAAATACTATTAGTTGATTAAAATCTGATGTGTCCTGTTCTAGATTCAACTTTTTTCCCCTGTTTTGGTAACTTTTCAGTTCGTTATTCATCTTTCTCTTATTTTCTTTCTATTGTTCTCACTATTAAGTGAGTACAGCTGAATTATGAATAAAGATTCTTTTCTACTACTCCTGCTGCTCAATTTAATGTGTTTGAATATAAATAATGATGGTATCATAACTACATTCATACCTTTTTATTTGTTGCATCACATTTGCTTATCATCATTTTCTTCTCTCTCTTATTTTAAACTTTCCCTATTGACAGCTTGTCTCTTTAACTTGTTTGTAACCGCATCGTTATTATCATTGCTCGAAACAATTACATAACTACATATCATATCTTGTGTATGATACGTACAACTTGTTTTAGTTGTCGAAAATCATTATACTCTACAAGAAATGTCAAGAACTTAACAGTTTATATTTAGTTGAAATAAAAGGATTGACTATACGCTTATTATAGTTTCAATAATCTTTTGACGGGGTTAGTGTAAAAATGTAGACTTTCTTATAGTTGAAAGAAGAACGAACGAGTTCATAACTGCTACACATATCTCACCTTTTATCAATAAAAAAATGAACGGGCCATTGATTATATGGACAATGTCAATTATTTTCTTTATTAAGTACGTTTAACTAGGAGATTAAGATAGAACGCTGGTAGTACCATGAGAGTAGTGTATATCCATTGTCTGTTTTAACTTACATAAACTTCTATATACAAGTTATTAATTTACGTTTATTAGTTGCTATTACTATATACTAAACAATGATAATAAATACATAGACATAGACATATACAAGAGAGACTGCCCATTTTTCCTTTCGGCAAAGTTAGAGTGAAAATGTAGACTTTTTTTATAGTCGAAAGAAGAAAGAAAGGATTCATCATTTTCCTTTGAGATATAGATACGAAGTTCAATTACTTAGAACGAAGATGATCATCAGTTATTGATCCTATTAGATCAATTACTCTCGATGAATAAGTCAAAAGTCTTATTATTTGACAGATAGATGAATACATACACGTATACAGCATAATAATATGATGAACTCACGAGAAAATGCGATAAGCTTTGGGAGTATGATGTTCAATAAAATATTATTTTTCTTATTAAGAACGTCGGTCTCTTATTACTGGATGAGTAAACTTGTTTTTCAAAAGTTATATAAATTTTGTTAATACCATGCAGAAAAAAACGTTTTAATTAATTAAGAGACAAAAATTGATCTACAGTTTGCGTTCTGAAGTTTAGAAGACTAGAGAAAAGTAGGTATCATAATATCAAATTTGAATTTGATGAGATATCATTAAAAAAAGGTCATATTGCATGGATTTACGTAATGGAGAGAGAGAGAGAGAGACAGGTGTTAATCTGATGCCATTCAATAAATTCACTATTATGTCTTTCCTTTTCTAATCTTTAAAAAAACACTTATCGAGTCACATTAATAACTTTGTATCTAGCTCAAGTCAAAACATCGGTCATTACGATGATAAAAAGCCAATTGTACACTTACAAACACATGCAAAGAAAGTTTTGCCATTATTCTTAATTTTTTCTTCCTATGTATAGTTGAAAAATCAGGTACGATAACTATTCTATTATTACAGTGTTCTGATGGAATATTAGTTCAAAAAAATACTCAATTTCAAACGGAAAACTAATTAGAACAGAACGTCTAAATCGGCTAACGGTCAACCGTTTGTTCGTGTGTTACCATTTTAATCTTTTGCTATCGCTGTAGCAATACAATCTGAAGGGCTGCGAGACTTCGCATTTTGCAGATTTAAGTCTAGCTTTCAAAATTCTATCAGTATCGATACGTAATTTAACTGAAAAGTAGAGTTTTAACCGAAAGTATCCATTATCAAATGCTCACGACACTGAATTAGAGTAAGAAGAGGGAGCGCTGTGAGTTAGTGGAATTTCTTAAATGTAAATCACAGCCAAGTCGTTCTTACGGTTGTTCTTCAGATGTTTTCTGAATGGACACAACTTGAATAAATACATGATCTGTTCCAGACTCAAAATGTGTGTTAGCAACACTATTTTAAGCTGGATATACAGTTGTTTATTCAGTAGGTTCTTGATGATCAAGCATTCCCGCGGGAGCCACCAGAAGTTGCCATTTAGTTTCGGTTGAACGGTATTCTACTCGATTTGACACTATAGGAAACTACAAACCCCGCATTTTTGCTTCAGAAGTTCATTTTTTGAGAAGACATGTCTTACCACTAATATTCTTCAAAAATTCATTCATTTCTCCCCAATTAATATTAAAATGCCTTAGTGTTAAATATAATAACACGCTAATATTTTTAAAATTATTGTTTTATAACGCAGTTCTAAAATATCACTAATGTCATTCAAATTTACTTTTTCTCTAAAATCTTCGCCGCCATTACTGTCACTATCACTATTATCATTCTCGTCATCCTTAATATTTTCATTCATTTTAAAATCCTGAATCACTATTGTTATTCAGAGTAGAGATGTGCAGGGTAGCTGTTTCTCGAGCGCTGGCCCTACCCCGCTACACCAAAGCCCTGGCCCTAATCTACGATGTAATTCATCAAGATTTGTCAAACAAAGCCCAAGCCCTGCCCTGTGACTTCAGATGACATTAGAGCCCTGGAGGACAGGGTAAGGGCGCCCTGCAAATCTCTAATTCAGAGATACAGTGCTTGGCCATTGCCCTAATAGTGCATGTTGTAATTGTGCTTTCTATTAGAACGTTTTAGCATTATAAATTTTATTAATTGGCGAGATTTACGATTATATCTGAAAGAAAAAGAGAAATTAATTATTCGCAGACATATCCAGTTTAAAACCTCATTTTTTGAGAAAAGGCGCTCTAGGGAACCTCATAGAAACCTTCTAAAGATCTTGATACTATGCCAGTCCTATACTTTTCTACATATGTGGTAAAAATTTTATTGAAAAATTTCATCGAGAGTTGAAATATGTACAAAACACATAGCCCCATGTAAGGAAAATCTTTCAATTTAGAAAAGAATTCATTTTCCCAGCAAACGAGAAGATACAATGCAAAATCCATCTGTAACTTTTTCGTTTCATACACGGCTCCCAACCGACAAATAATCTTCGAATACGAGCACCCAATCGTTTGATAACCGATTCTGGTTGTTGAACAGTTGTTAATGATATACGACGTATCTGTTTAGCTTCAGCTTGTTTCTGAAAAAATTCAGCTTAAAAACGCAACAGATATTCTTTTTGAAGACTATGAACGGTGAAATATCGTATTACCGTACGCAGTATTACGGAGCACCGTACTATACCGTTTTTTGACCGTTTACTGCCATATACGGTCCGTTTTCTCCGACCTGGGTAGCGCAAACGGATTAGAATTTCCATTAATACCCGATGAATTAAAAGATCTAACAGCACTAGAGGGTAGACTGGCAGCAGTGCGCTTACCGTTTATGAAAGTAAGAGGATGATAACTGTGAATCCGTTTGCAGTTCTGATAGAAATGTTAGTAAGGAATATGATTATAAAGAAACTGAAGGACATAATTGAGAACATGAAGATACACCATACGAAGGTACTTATGCTATATCTACTCATTCATCCAGTATTTAAATTTGAAAGTTAAATACGTTTCCTAGGTCAATTTGATACTGTTATGATGCTTAATAACATATCTGTCGACGATGCCGTATTATATTTCGCACCTGGTGAGAGTAATCATCCTCCTAGCTTATTTCTCGATAAGTTTGTCGAAGAACTAGCATGCCTACTAACTTTTGGCGGCGAATCGAGACCTTCAAATGACATGCGGTCGTCGAAACTTACGCATGCAAAAATATGCAAATCTGAATTGCGACGCAGTTTTCGACGTGCTGCAATGGACGTTACAAACATTTTTTTCAAACTACGCAAAACACAATTATTAGAAATTGCTAGTAAGATTTAAAAAATACCTCTAAGAGATCTTTATTATTTACCAATACGCCTTTTTTACAATATTAGGTAAATCAAATGTAGCTTTCAGAAGGAAGAAGATCGGAAAATCAGGATTTGCCACCGGACGTGAATTGAGCCAAGAAGAATTTGATGAGCTCTCAAATCGAATTTTTAAAGACATGCGAGGAAGTTGTCTCCATTGGAAGAAAGTGCTTGACTGAACAAGTCAGGTCATGTTTTTCCGGAATCAAATGATATTGGCATATCGCTTATGACCAGAGTGAATCTCCTTTGCGATTATTAAGGAACCACTCTATCTGTTCCTTGTGCTGGTAAAACTCGTAGAGTCACAGAAAAGATATTTCAACAAAAGCAAAACGGACGAGCGACAGAAATGTGGTAAGATTCTACCAAAGAGCCACTCAGAAGATAAGATCAAGTCATTTTGATATGCACGCAAGGTGCATAGGTATGAGAGCTAAAGTTAGAAGTTATTGTAAACAGTCAAAAATTGCGTAAAAATAAAAGAAATTATTAGGTTTTTTGCAAAATCCGTAGAAAACCACATTTCTGCAATTTTCAAATTTTGGGAAAGCCCATACGTTTGTTCAGCTTTTTAAGCTCTATCCAATGACTTTTTTAAAAAAACTTTAGCTCTTTACAGAGCTACGTTATTTCAAATTTAAAAAAGTCAAGATTTCAAATTTTTACAAGTATTTGGATTCAAAAATCAATATCCAATATTTTTTAAAAGTTCTTTTTCCAAAAAAGAAAACGCTAAGAAATAATGCAACCGATGATCCTGACGTAGAACTGGCAGATACATCGAATGCAGAAATTTTACTACTAATCACGAATTGATCAAGAAATTAGTTCATCGGCTCAGTACGAATATCATTCTGAATATGCAAAAAAAGTTTCTAGAATTTCAGTACTGCCTTCTTTTCTGATTCAATGAATGTTCAAGTTAGAAAGTATATGAGTAGGAAATCAAATTTAACAGTTTTTGTGATCGATTCTTTTGAATTAACTTTAATGCACAAGTATCTTTTCCTGTTTCCTTAGTGTCGTCACATTATGTGGCAAAAATGTGTATTCGGTCTGAATTCACCTTTGGGAACAAGAAAAAGTTCATACTAGTGAAAACAAACAGAAAAGTTCTCGTTCATACGAAGTCATTTATTCTAATTTATATTATTTTAGAGTAATTTCAGATATATTTTTTATTTACTCTACAAAACAACAAAAGAAGACAAATACACGTATATATAAGTATCAAACAAAAAAGAAAAGAATCTCAGACTAGTTATTTCACTGTGCCGATTTATATTTTCACAAAATGAAAGTAGAATGAAAAATAAATTGTGCTTTTCTGTTCGAAAAACAAAAAATACTTTTTTTCAAGAACGTTTCTCATGTATGTGCTTAACAACGACATGCAAAAGCGACGTTTCAGAAAAACACAAGTGAAGCAGCCACAACTTGTGGTAGTGTAATGAATGATAGCCAAAACAATGTAAGAACACGTCTGTAAAGCGACAAACTCGGACAAAACGTTTTCTTACATAGAGAAAAAGGACATGTACAAATAAGTTTTTCTTATTCACATAATACATGGTAAATTATAAATGAAACACTATCCATTGGAACTTTTGGAAATTCATCCAAACTAGTTTAACAAGGTCTCATATTAAATTAACTCAAATTAATTTTTTTCTCACTAAATTAATTTTAATTTATTTAACTTGATGAATTAATTCAAATTAATTTAGTCAGAAAAAAATTAATTTGAGTAATTTAATGAGACTTCTTTAAACTAGTTTGCATTAATTTGTAAAGGTTCTAATGGGTATGCGTATGTACAGCGAAAAAAACATTTAACTATGAAAGAGAAATATTTTCAATATCTTAAATGGAATTCTTTGCTACTTTTAGAACCCTTCCCGATCCATGGTAATTTTATTTTCACAATGAAAACAATTAGCAGGACAGTGTATAACACACATACATCTAAAACTGGAAACGAAACCATCTACAGTCTCTTGTGATATATTCCACTTGTTGAATTCTCATGCATATTTTCTACCGTATTCATATAATGCTACTCGCAGTATCTCTTTATCTCAATATTGATCACGACGATTTTCAAGCCAAGCCTAAAACATATGTACAAAACAACTATACAGTTAACAATAGATAATGATAGCATTTGCACAACTTCATCTTTCGCTTACAGCAATCACCAGTCTACCAATGGAAATGTTGGACTAGTTAACATATCTCAAAATCTACAGCTTTGAACGAATAAGCACTGTGTATGTACCATACTTGTTCAAGATAATGGCTCCCTGCCAAGTATGCCTTTCAAACTAGTATAGTGCAGATCCTCAAAGATCAATAGATTTCCTGCAAAATGTATCAGAAATGCTGGTTTCAAATACTTTTTTTCAATCTACTTTTTAACTTGTATTGTTTTCTCAGTAAGTTAATCCCAGCAGTGTTTAAAAAGACTTGAGATAAGAGACACTAGGCACTACATTTGCACAGAGCAGCACCATCCTGCTATTCGCCGCTCATCTACCGCATGTACAAATAGTCAATACCAACCTTAAGCGTGCGACATAATAAACGTTTAGTAACACTAAAATTAAACTTACATTAATTATATTCAGACTCAAATTCAACTTCATACTGAGAAGAGTT